CGACGGAATTTCGATTCCGTCGAAGATTTTCGACGGAAAAAGAAAAGAAAAAGAAATTATATTTTTTGGGCTTTTCGACGTAAAAGGAATTTCGTCGAAGATTTTTGAAAAAAATAAAAAGAAAAAGAAATTAAATTTTTTGGGCTTTTCGACGGAAAAGTAATTCCGTTGAAGACTTTTGAAAAAAAAAGGAAAAAGAAATTAAATTTTTTGTGCTTTTCGACGGAATTTGAAATCCGTCGAAAATCTTCGAAGGAAAAGGAATTCCGTCGAAGATTTTTTTTTTTTAAAATAAAGAAATTAAATTTTTTGGTCTTTTCGACGTAATTTCAATTCCGTCGAAGATTTTCGACGGAAAAGGAATTCCGTCAAAGATTTTTGAAAAAAATAAAAAAAGAAAAAGAAATTATATTTGTAACTTTTTTACGGTTAGCAAAATCAAACTTATTGAACTAATGACCTGCATTAATGGTTTTCAATTCCATCTGTTTGTGTATTTTTTTTTTAGAAAGTCAAAAATTCAAAATTATAAATTTTTAGTACATATGTGTCCTATATACAATCTGAGAGTCAGATGGACCCATGTAGGTATAACAGGTTGATCATTCAATGAACTCAACTAGCTTTGAGAAAATAAAGCATTGATAATGCTCTGTGTTGTCATTTGATGGATTGGGCGTAATGGTCCCAAGCCCATTTATGTCAGTGGTTATGTTGGGCCTGATGGGTCGTACACAAATACCTTAAGTTGTCTTGAATTCTAGCATATGTGGTTTGGGCACAATATGGCATAATGGGCCTAAGTTGGAAAAGCCCACATATTGGGCCAAGAGAGAGTAGTATATGACAAGGAATTTTGTACACATAATTATATTAAGATCATACGATTTTGATATGTTATTCACTTTCATTATATTTATTTATCAGGTTCAAAACATAAACCGATATTAATTTTGTAGAGAGAAATAAAAAAAACAGCCTTAAAAGCAATTCCGTCGACAATTGAGACAATAGTTTTCGACAAAATTTAATTAGATTTTCGTCAAAATTTTTGGACGGAATTTGTTTTCGTCGAAAATCATTACAAGATTTTTTGGCGGAATTTTATTCATTTTCTGTCGAAAATTTTCGACGGAATTTGTTTTCTGTCAAAAATCCTTACAAGATTTTTCGACAGAATTTCATTCATTTTTCGTCGAATTTTTTTAACGGAATTTGTTTTCCGTCGAAAATTATTAAAAGATTTTTCGACGGAATTTCATTCATTTTCCGTTGAAAATTTCGACAGAATTTGTTTTTCGTCAAAAATTATTAAAAGATTTATCTACAGATTTTCATTCATTTTCTGTCAAAAATTTCGACGGAATTTGTTTTCCGGCGAAATTTTCCACAGAAATTATTCCGTCAAATTTCCGTCGAATTTTTTCGACGGAATCTCTAATTCTGTCGAAATAATTGTTACCCACGAAGACATACTCGACGACTTTATTTCCGTCAAAAATTCCGTCAAAAATGTCATTTTCGACGGAATTTTTCCGTAGAAAAAAAAGCATTTTCTAGTAGTGATATAAGAATAGGCTTATTGAATCTCTCAATGTACATGGCTCAAATAATTGGTTCAAAACAAACACAAAAAGAAATAAAGAATTCTTAATGTTTTTTAAACAGTAAGGATATATAAAACAAGGGATTTGCATTTGTCATTTAACATGACACAACAAACTTTCCTACACACACAACATTTTGTGGGGCCCACACTTTTTGAAGAAAAAAGAAAAAAAAGAAAATTACGGCACGCAAAATGAATCTCTATAACATTACACAATCATTTTTCCTACAACATAACTCTTATGAAACCCATAAAACAATTGCTCCAACCATATATGTTGAGAACGAGACGTTTTACATCACTAGCATGCTTTCATACACAGTAATTTTTTTTTATATACAATGTAAACTTCATATTTGCAAAGAAGTCATGTAAAACGATTTATCAAATAAATATGTTACTATAATCTATGTAGCACCAATACGACACGCGACACGTGACACGACACGACACGACACGACACTCCGACACGTCAATCCTAAAAAATTATGGATTTCGACACGTTGGGACACGTTTTAATATTAAATAATATTTTTAATTTATATAGTGTATATTCCATTTAATATTTAATAATTTAACAAAAAAATGAAACTGAATTAATAATACCTATCAATACGTTATAAAGATGGAAGCTTTAATCAAAAAAATAAGAACTGGGATGAGAGAGAGATATAACATCAGATAGAGAGATCAAATCATATTAGAGAGAGATCAGAGAGAAGAAGATACAACAAGAGCGTGATAGGAATTGATAACAATGATGCTGAGATGATCTCTTATCTACTTAAGGGGAAAAAAGACAAAAAGATAAAATTGATATGATCAGGTGGAAGCTTTATTAATATATTTTAACTTTTAAAAAAATTTAAAAAAATTAAAAAAAATTAATTTTTTTTTATGAAAATGCCATTTGACCGTGTCAGACACGGTCAAATTCGCGTGTCGGAATGGTCAACGTGTCGGAAAAAGTCAACCGCGTGTCCGACATCGTGTCGGACCCGACTTTTCCTGTTTTTACAGGTGTCCGTGCTTCCTTGACTATAATTATAGTTCAGCAAGTGTAATATCCTAGAAAAATAATATTAATTTATAATATGATAAATTAATAATAGTAATAAATTATAAATTAGTAGTAATAATAATAATGTGTGATAAATTGTGATTGTTTGAATTATTAATTAATTGATCATTTGTTCATTAATGTTTGACTGATTGATTAGTAATGTGATTGGATTAGGATGAGTTAACAATCTTTATTTGATTAGATATAATGAGTCGGCAATATTCTGAGTCATAAGAAATTAAGAATAAAACAGAAATAAAGTATGAAGCCAATATCTGAGCCAAATACATCAATGAAGAATAAGGAAAATAAATTGCATGAAACTCATATCCCAGCCCAAAACTTCAACTATAAATAGAGGCATAGCCTAACCAAATCAATTCACTTTCAATCCTCAGTATTTCTCCTCTGCTACTCTCTTCTTACCTCAAAATTTTATTTATTTATTTTAATTTAGTCACAACCGCTTCTCTTCCCCAAATTTCTATAAGGTAGCAAACATGGAGACCAGGTAATCCTAATCTCTAGATGCTCTTAGGTTAGTTTTATATGAAATTTAGAGTAATTATATATGATTTACGTTGGGAATAATATTGGATTAATATATTAATTTTATTCTTATTTGGTATAATTCCAATCTGTAGTTAAGTTTATTTAAAATCTATTATATGTAATTCTAATCCCTAGGGAGTCAAGGGATAGCTTTATATGAATTTTTGTTAGTGAGATTCTTTTTTTTTTTTTTTGGAGTTACCCAACCCTAATTATCTCTTTGAGACGAGTTGGCTCCCTCCGGTATCCCCACGAGCTTCGACTCTTTGAGCCGGCTATGAGACTAATCCGGAGTGCGGGGAAACAGTGATGGCTAAAGGTTCAGCCCCCTCCCCAAGAATGCATTCAGCAGTGAGGATAACGACTCTGATCTTTAGGGTGTCACAAGTTAGTTTTATTTGAAGATTTTTATATGTACCTCTTAATCCTTAGAGCATCATATGTTAAATTATATATGTTGGGAATTTTATTGGGCTTAATTTTAAAATCATTTAATAATATAGCAGTGAGGATAACAACTCAGATTTTTTTTAGTTAGTCATAAATATTATGTATCAAAATGTAGTCTTTGATTTTATTTGAATCTAATAGAGTTAGCCTTGCACTTGTCCCTGCACAGGTGAGGCGGTAACATTTCCCCAAATTAGTTTTAGATTAGCTTTTGCATTAAATATAAGATCTTAATAAATAATTAAATATTATTTTTTAAAATATTTTCTCTATTATAGGAATATTTTATTGTTGTTAAAATTATTAGAAATTTGGGAATGTTACAAAATGGTATCAGAGCCCTGATTCGACTTGATCCCAGAGTTAAATAAATAATTAAGTATATAAAAATAATTTTTTATAAAATTAAATAATAAGATAGATAAATAAAATGACGAGAGTTGGATAGTAAAGGGGTTTCTTATTATCCTTTCATTGTACTTTACTGTTATAGTATATATATTGCTCTTTAAATTGTTTATATGTTATCTTTAGCAATATATTTTGTTTTAATAAGAGTAATTAGATTTATTTAAGATTTTTAGAGTTGTCCTTGAATTGATTAAAAATTTTCTAGCAAATGAAGGATAAATAAATATTTCTATTTGTTTAAAGAAGATGTGCATTTTGAAAGAAAAAAAATAGCTTGGTTAAAGTCCACAGTTCATTACTTTGTAGTGTATTAAATTCATTGCATCGTACGTGTTCTTGTTTTCTTAATTATGCATGACTCTTGGTTGTTTGCTTACTTCTTTTAAGTTTTGAGGACGAAACTTCTTTTAGATATGATGAGTCAGCAATATTTTGAGTCATAAGAAATTAAGAATAAGGTAAATATCCTTTTTAGTCCCTGACAATATTCAGGAAAGTTTTTTCAGTCCCTGGCAATAAAAAAGGGACAAATTGGTCCCTAATTAGATATGGTATTTATGTAATTTTAATTTATTTCAGTGTTATAATGGTCTTTATATTTATAATTTTTTAAAATTTTAATACCAAAACGACGTCATTTTAAAAATAAATACAGATAATTTATCTGCAGTAACGGCAGAAATATTTCTCTCACAACTTAACTCATGTTAATAACAAAAGACTCTCGGGAAGTTAGGCTATCACGCGCGTGCATAGAGGGTGCATTTACATTCACGAATCACGTCCCAATAAATTCATTTTAATTTTATTGCACATAGAAAAATGAAAAAACAAAATTAAAATTAGAAGAAGAAAATTAACCCGTCTAGAATTTTCACTTTCCTCTCTCTCTCTCACCAGACCGTAGAAATGAAATGTGGCACGCTTCCTGCGTTGCAAGTGGAACCATTTTACTCCTCTGTTTGTAGGGTTTGGGGAATTTCCTCTCTGCGTCGATAATACCAGTGATGAGCGACGGTTTTGAATTTCACTTACAAGATTCCCAAGATAATACTGCCGTTACGGAAACCGGAGATGGAAAGTGTTCGATGCTCCGAGTCGCTGATGAAGCTAGCGATTCTTGTTTGGAGCATGGTTCGAGAGCTACGGTGAGTGAGCTTCACGCTAGGGTTTCTCGAAATGCGAAATCTGAGGATGTTGCTTCGACAGAAGAGTTTAGGGTCAGGGTTCGTTCCGAGTGTGATGGTGGACGCGCAGGTAATACAACCACCGTCGATCGGTTTGAAGATGAAAATGAGGAAATTGTTGGGCGTCGTAATCGAGAAGATGCCGAGAAATTTCCTGGTTCTGATAGCAATTCTCTGTTATCGGAATTCGATGAGTACGTGGCAGGTGAGAGAAATGGAGGAGTGAGAGCCGTAGTGACGAGGGATCTAAGATATGGTTTTGAAGTGGGTGATATGGTTTGGGGAAAGGTGAAATCTCACCCATGGTGGCCCGGCCACGTATACAATGAAGCATTTGCATCACCCTCGGTGCGTCGCACGAAGAGGGAAGGCCATGTGTTGGTAGCTTTCTTCGGCGATAGCAGTTATGGGTGGTTTGAACCGGCCGAACTTATCCCGTTTGATTCCAATTTCGCTGAGAAATCGCAGCAGACGAATTCTAGAACATTTTTGAAGGCCGTGGAAGAGGCCGTTGATGAAGCATGTAGGAGGTGTTGTCTTGGGTTGGCTTGTAGATGTAGGAACCCTAGTAATTTTTGTCCAACAAGTGTTGAAGGGTACTTTTCAGTTGATGTGCCTGACTATGAGCCAGGAGGGTTCTATTCTGATAATCAGATTAGGAAGGCAAGAAATAGTTTTAAACCAAATGAAACTCTTGCTTTCGTAAAGCAGTTGGCCCTGGCTCCACATGATGGCGACCATGGTAGCATTGGCTTCACTAAGAATAAGGCTACGGTTTTTGCTTATCGAAAGGCAGTGTTTGAGCAATATGATGAGACTTATGCCCAGGCTTTTGGAGTGCAGCCATTGCGCCCTTCTCATCCTCAGAATAATCCACTCGATCAGCCTGTGAGACAGCCTCCTAGAGGTATATATACACCCTTCCTGTACCTCCTCCTAGGAGTTCTGGTTTATTGTAGTTTTTGTGAAAGGTTGCACAGGTGAAGGTTTTATTGGAAAATGTATGCCACAAAATATATAGTGCTTCTTTCATTGCTTATTTGCTCGTGCTGACACATGTCCCTATCTCCAACTTATTTTCATGACCACTGGACCATATTGTATTTCAGTATATGAGTTGTTTATGTCACTGTTATCAGAGAATTGACTAAATCTTTGTAGATCTGTGGCTGTGAACTGTAGCAGTAGAGTGATTAAGAATATACAAGTCTTGAGTGTTGGTTGAGTGTTTAGACAAAGTCTGAAGTGAATATATTAGTGTTTAGACATTCTTTGATACTGAACATTGTGTTTTGGTTAAGTGTTGGTTGTTATTGTGGAGATAGTAGGTCAAGATTCTATATGATAAAAGTTTGAATCATTCTGATGTTATGCTCACTAGCTGAAATGTTCCTTGTGCAAGTCTGAGAATCATTTATAAGATTACAATCTAAAATATATGACCATTTATGTTTCTTGATAGGTGTTGTGCCATCATACGAAATAAGATTAGGTTCATAGTTGTCAATATGCAGAGCGGCCAACCCAAAATAAAAAATTTATAGTAGGATGACGACTTCACCTAAGATAATGTGAATTTTTTTTTATTTATACTACATACATATTAATACTCAAAAATAAATACGCAAAATTAAAGACATATCATTAACAATCAAAAGTCGTAGTCTAGATACACAATCACCATCAATCCAAGGCATAATTAACAAGAAGAAACTGAGGCTGAAGCTGAGTTTCTGGGATGGGCTGGTTGTGACTTAGATGATGCCATGGTTGCATCAAAGAGGGGCTGGAATTAATAATCAACAGCAAAAAGAGACAGAGCAGAGGATGTGTTTCGCCGCAAAAAGAAACAGAGGATGGAATATGGAAGAAGTTGCAGCAAAAACAAAGGAAGACCTGTGAGTATGATCTATGAACAGAGTCTGGAAGAATGAGCAGACTCAAACTCAACAGAGAATAAGGGGCTGCCAGAAAATGTGATGGGTTGCTGAAAAATCAAGGACTTCGCTGGAAAATGTGTTGCCTGCAGGAGATGGGTGGTGCAAAGGAACAGAGCAGCAACCTTGTGCATCTTCTTTGAGGAATGTATATTCATTCTGGTAAGGGAAAGCGTATGAAATTTCAAAAATCACCTAAAAAATATGAGGGGGAGTCAGACAAAAAGGGGGATAATGGTTATTTAACGAGTGGCAATGATTTGTCTGCTATTTTCTGGTGACACAAGCCGCTATCACATCTCCACAAAAAATGGAACATGATGCTATGCCGTTGGGTTAGGAAGGAAATTGAGGGGTTTGAGTTGTCATGCAAGACAAAGATAAGTTTAGTAAGAATGTATTTGGGAGAAAATTAGATTAGCTCCTATTGATGAGAGGATGACAGAAACTGGCCTAAGGGTAAGGTGGTTTGGTCATGTGGGAAGAAGACCAGAGGAATGGAAGATGGTTAGATTAAAGTGGTAGAGGAAGACAGAAGAAAACATTTGGAGAAACCTTTATACAAAAACCTTAGTCTAAATGATTTTATTGAAAAATTGGTTTTTTATAGAGCCCAATGGTGGCACTTGATCCATGTAGCCAACCCCACTTAGTGGGATTGGACTTGATCGTTGTTCTTAATCACTTTGATACAAATGTTTTAAGTTTATAGAGCCTTGTTAATATGATTATGTTTTCTCTATATCTTTGCAAAATGTTAGATAATTAATTTGAACTTTACGGCGGCTGGGCTGTTTGCATTTTATAAGCTTGTTAATTTGACGATTAATTTGTGTTTACATTGTAAGATCTTGTAATTTATCCCCTTGCTTATATAAGGATGTTAATTTATGTGGAATGAATATCAAGCTTATTGCTGTCTGTCAAGCTATTCAAAGCCATTTCATATGTTATTGCCTCCTTTTAATCTTTTTTTAATGGTTTTTGCTCTGTTCTCCAGCTCCTTTGAGTGGTCCTCTGGTGATAGCTGAAGCTTTGGGTGGTGGGAAGAACACTACCAAATCTATTAAAGTTAAGGACAATTTGAAAAAAGATAGATACCTTTTTAAACGGCGAGATGATCCAACTAACTCTTTCCAGTTAGAATACAGGGAAGAGACCCCTGATGCAGCTGGGCAATATGTATTTCAGAAGAGGACTCCAGCTGTGCCTGTGGCGCCTCATAATTTAGAAAAGAATGCAGACACAGGGTTTATTAGCCATGATGGTGCAACTTCAACTTCAGATGCCAAAGGAGCTTTAATACGTCAGGTTCAAGGAGATTGCAGTGGTCTTACATCCCCAGCCATTTCCTCTGATGCAAAACCTCATCTTGACAAGGGGAAGGAATCTTTTGAAGAAATGACTCACAACTTTGAACAGGATAATATTTCAAGTAAAAGCATGGGTAGGTCTGATTTATCAGGGGAGTTAACATTACGAAGCACGGTTAATGAGACATCTCAACCATCCCATCTTGAGAGCAAAATTTCTGTTGATGTTAAATGTGATGGGAATGCAAAATTGTCGGGACCATGTAAAGATTCTAAGCAAACAGAGCAGGGACTTCAGACTATTGCTGATGGAGGAAATGATATGCATCAAGTTGAGAGCGAAAATAATGTGTATAGTTCACCAGTTGAAGCAAAGCATCACGAAATCAGCGCTGTGAAGAAGATAAAAAGTCTTAAGCGACCTGCAGATGACTTGAACTCTAAGGCTTCTGCTATTTGGGAGAGAAAGAAGAAAAGGAAAAAGGATTTAAATTTGCAACCAACCTCAGCGCATCTGGAGAAGCACTCTACTACTGAAAAATCTTTACACCTTTCAGGAAAATTGACAGGAAAATCTGTATCACTTGGTTTGGATCATAGAGAGCATTCTAAGGATTTTCGTGCAGAACAAGTGCAGGTAGATGTTAGTGACCGTAATTTTCCACCCATGGATACCATAGGAGATACTAATTTTGAAGTGCCACAACTTTTGGGTGATTTGCAAGCTCTTGCTTTGGATCCTTTTCATGGCATTGAGAAAAAAATCCCTTCAGTTGTTCAGCAGTTCTTTTTGCGGTTCAGATCTCTTATTTACCAAAAAAGCTTGTTTTTATCACCACCAACAGAGAATGAAGCTCCTGAAGTTCGAGTTACTAAATCTCCTTCGAGTGTCAGGGCATCTGACAATTCTGATGATCATGTCAGAACTTCACCACTTGTAAAACCTGTAAAACATATTGTTCGGCTTGATGATCCCACAAAAGCTGGGCGGAAAAGGGGCCCCTCTGATCGCCAAGAAGAAATTGTTGCAAAGAGGTTGAGGAAAATCAAGGATATAAAGGCGCTAGCTGCAGAGAAGGCAGCGGCCAGCCAGAAAACTTCTGAATCCCGGCGAGAAGAGGGAAAAGAATCCTTGTCCCAGGCTCCACCCAAGTTGGCAAAACCAGACTCGACCAGGAAAGTGAACCGTTCAGCGAAGGCAGTTGATCCCACCACACTGGTGATCAAGTTTCCTCCTCAAACATCACTTCCATCTGTTGCAGAGCTGAAGGCAAGGTTTGCTCGCTTTGGCCCAATGGATCAATCAGGTTTCCGTATATTTTGGAAGTCCTCAACTTGCCGTGTTGTTTTCTTGCACAAAGCTGATGCACAAGCTGCATATAAATATTCTGTAGCCAACCAATCCTTATTTGGCAGTATGGGTGTGAGGTGCTTCCTTCGAGAATCTGGGGATTCTGCACCTGAATTTCCTGAAGCTGCCAAGGCTAGGGGAGATGATGATGCCAATGAAACACCTCGGGTCAAGGATCCTGCAGTGGTTCATCGCCAGATACCAGTTTCATCACTACAACCTCTTCCACAGCCAATGAACCAGCTCAAATCCTGCCTGAAGAAATCTACAGGTGATGAGTCAGGTCAAGTTACTGGCAATGGAGGTAGTAGTAGAGGAAACCCACGTGTAAAATTCATGTTAGGTGGGGAAGAAAGTAGTAGGGGAGAGCAATTAATGGTGGGTAATAGAAACAACTTCAACAATGCTAGTTTTGCTGAGGGTGATGCACCTCCTGTTGCAATGGATTTTAATACTAAGAATCTTCAAAAGCTCACTTCTCAACCTCCGTTGCCTATTCTTCCTCTTGCACCTCAGTTTACAAAATCCCCACAACATAATTTGCGTAATTCTGAATTTGCAATGCCACCCAGAAACATCCCCAATTTTATTAACACCACAGCATCAGCTACTTCAACCACAGTTGATGTATCACAGCAGATGATAAGCCTTTTGACGAGGTGCAACGATGTTGTGACTAACCTGACGAGTTTATTAGGCTATGTGCCATACCATCCACTTTGATAAAAATGGAGCCTTACCCGACGTTACACCATATCCCATCCAATTGAAATTCGCGCGAGTTTGGATTGTGGGTGACTTGATCCAGGAAATGCAAGAAATACAATACAATCGTGGAAGAGCGCGCGGAATCATGTTGGGGCCGAGAGTGGTTTTTTTTTTTTTTTTTTTTTTAGGTTTTTGGGTTCTGAACATTGACAGTTGCATCTTCTTTTTAGTTACCTTTTTTTTTTCGTTTTCTTTTTTATTTAAATCACTTTTGGGGTGCGAGATGGTACTTCGTTGATGTATCAACCCTAACGGCCCACAGATGCTCTCATGTACCTATGTACTCACCTGAAAGAGGCTTTGGGGTATTGTTTAGATTACCTTCTCCTCGCAACGCTAATATTTGGAGTTCCGGACTCCTTTCTCTTCCCGTGGTTTTGGGTCTCATTGCGTGAGAATTGAGAATGAGACATTGCAATTCATAAGGGCCTACTGGCCAACCAATGTGGTATGATATTGTGGTATTATTAAAATAATCTAACGGTATGAAGTTTGAGATGTGAGAGTGAGACTACTCATGGGCAGAGTTTATTCCTAAGTCAATGGACATTGAAATCCAATTAAAAAAAACAAAAACAAATTAAGGGTATGTTTGATTATGTTCTGGATTTTTTTTTCTTAAAATTCTTTTATAGAATAATCAATAAAAATGAAAAGTATTTTTTCATCATCGAAGATAAAATTATCTCCAGTAAGCTCAAAATGACGTCGTTTTGGGGTTATATGATTAAAAATTATACCTGTACAAAAAAAAGATTAAAAAATTATAATTATAAAAACTAATATAACTCTGCAATATATTAGAATTACAAACACCTTGATTTTCGTTTCAAAACGATGTTATTTTGGATTTAACGGAGATAATTTATCTCCATTGACTGGAAAAATTCTTTACCCTTAATAAAACAAGTGTTTTTTTATATTATTATTTTTTGGAAGTTATAGTCAAATCATGAAATAAAAATAATTAAGATATATTCTCTAAATTTGATTTAAAAAAAAAGAGAATTATAATTTTTAATTTTTTTGTACAAAACAGGTTTTATCAAACTTTTTTTTCTTCTGAAAATTAAAAAATTATTTTTCGAAACAGATATTAATTGTGATAAATTATAATATTAATTTATAATATAATAAATTATAAATTAGTAGTAATAATAATAATGTGTGATAAATTGTGATTGCTTGAAATATTAATTGGTTGATCATTTGTCCATTAATGTTTGATGGATTGATTAATAATGTGATTGGATTAGGATGAGTTAGCAATCTTTATTTAATTAGATATGAAGAGTAAGCAATATTCTGAGTCATAAGAAATTAAGAATAAAAAGAAAATAGTGTATGAAATCAATATCTGTGCCAGATACATCAATGAAGAATAAGGAAAATAAATTGCATGAAACTTATATCCGAGTCCAAAACTTCAACTATAAATAGAGGCCTAGCCTAACTAAATCAATTCACTTTCAATCCTCCTTATTTTTCTCCTATGCTACTCTCTTCTTACCTCAATTTTATTTATATTTTAATTTAGTCACAACCGCTTCTCTTTTCCAAATTTCTAGAAGGTAGCAAACATGGAGACCAGGTAATCCTACTATCTAGATGCTCTTAGGTTAGTTTTATATGAAATTTAGACTAATTATATATGATTTATGTTGGGTATAATATTGGATTAATATATTAATTTTATTCTTATTTGGTATAATTCCAATCTTTAGGTAACTTTATTTAAAATCAAGAATTACATATAATAGATTTTAAATAAAGTTACCTAAAGATTGAAATTATACCAAAAAAGAATAAAGTAAATATATTAATCCAATATTATTCCCAACGTAAATCATATATAATTAATCTAAATTTCATAAAAAACTAACTTAAGAGCATCTAGAGATTAGGATTACCTAGTCTCCATGTTTGCTACTTTCTAGAAATTTAGAAAAGAGAAGCGGTTGTGACCAAATTAAAATAAATAAATAAAATTGAGATAAGAAGAGAGTAGCAGAGGAGAAAAATAAGGAGGATTGAAAGTGAATTGATTTGGTTAGGCTAGGCCTCTATTTATAGTTGAAGTTTTGGGCTCGGATATAAGTTTCATGCAATTTATTTTCCTTATTCTTCATTGATGTATCTGGCACAGATATTGGTTTCATACACTATTTTCTTTTTATTCTTAAGAGTAAATACCTTTTTAGTCCCTGACAATATTCAGGAAGGTCTTTTCAGTCCCTGGCAATAAAAAAAGGGACAAATTGTCCCTAAAATAACAAAAAGGGGGCCACGTTGGTCCTTCTGTTAACTCTATCGTAACGGCCAAAATAACGGTGCCCATGTGGCACGTTAATGTGATGACGCGGCTTGTACGTTTTGACAGCGTGGAGATACGACGACGTTTTGTTGGGTTGAGAGCTTTCCAAGTTTCTTGAATTCATCAGGACCATAGAACTTTCCCTCAAAGACAGCACCAATGAAATTATTATAATGAAAAGACATTTTTTGTTTACTCTAAAAAAAATCTTCAAACCAATAATGATACTTTCACTATAGCATGTGAGGGGTATTACATTTTTTTATGCGTGCAATTATTGAAAAGGAATGTAATTTTTTTCACATAAAAAACACTTACAAACCTAATAATATCATAATTAAATTATTATTATAATTAGAGAAATTTTGTAAAATTTCTTATTTAAACCTAATATTCAAAGACAATGACTTTAAAAATTAAGAATTAAATAATATATAACAATAAAATTTCATAATTGATAATGACCAATCACCGATACTTTAATAATTTTTTTGTAAACATAAAATAAAAAAGTAGCGTATTTGTTAGAAAGTTAGTAATTAAAATATTATTGAAGATGTTAAAATATACAATATATATGTACAATTAGATAATAATATAAATTAGTTGTATATACTAAAATAAATTCTTTAATGATATGATAATATATAATTACATAATAAAATAATTTTAAGAGAAATTAGTCAAATTTAATTTAAACAAAAATAGTTACAATATCAATTATTCGATGATAATACTTTAAATTGTAATAATAAACTAAAATCATAAAATAACCCTCTAAATAAATTGAATATGCATCAATTCAAAATCTTTCATAATATAGTTATGGATAATTAGATAATATAATATTTTTTTAATAATGTAAAATGTATAAACATACAAATCAAATGAATATATAAGTGCGAAATCAATGAATACAAAAACTAATTTTCAGTTCACATGTCATTCTACCTAAAGTTTTATTTTTTTTCTATAATCTTCTTTTACATATTTTTTATATTTGTTTCACAATGAATTTTCATTCTTAAAATTCGTATCGAAACACATAAATCGGTTAAATTTTTTGCCCTTGTTTGTATGTTCCAGCAGCTTTACATGTCTACTTAACTTTTTAATTCTTGCAGTGATTGTGAAATCATAACAGGAGGCATGATTAAATTTTAAATACATTCTCTCACTTAAAGTTAAATAGGAATATGCATACAGCACCAAAAATGAATAGTGCAAGAAATAAATACTTTTCAATTTAAGCGAGAATTTTTTTTTTCCCATACCACATATGCAATAAGCTCTATATCATCCATAAATCTCTCTCCTTTTAATTAATAATAGGGATCTTGTAGAAAGGATAGCACTGCTGAGAACTTATTTGTGAAAACCTACAAGAAATATAACAAAAACCTTATTGGTGATCTTAACTTGAAGTTGACCACCATGGTATCAAATAGTCAATTTTATGTCTTTTCCAACTCTAATTATAACCTGATAAAATAGTATAATTTTTTTTTATATTATCAAAATTAAATTACATTTAAAAAAGAGTAAATTCAATCTATCATTATAATGATTTTTAAAAAAATTATCTTTATAAATATATTGCTAAATTAGACACCATAAAATAATTTTTTTTTTTTTGGTATGCAAATAATATTTTTTAATTATCATTTCAGAAAGAAAAAAAAATTAATATTTTTTTTTTTCTGTTAGCCGCACTAGCATTCACCAAACATCAAGCGTTCAATTAAAATTATAATAAAATAGTAGCTCACAAAACAAAGGAATTTGTATACTTTCATTCGGTAAATATTCACCAATTTGTTTTTTTTTATTAGTCATGTAATATATATAAATGATAAATCAACGGTTAGAATTTGATGTCAAATATATATATATATATATATATATATATATATATATATAAAAGGCAATGCTTTTCTCATGCTATTGGGGAGGAGGAAATCTCCTACACACTCAAATTTATGGTGGGACCCACACATAAAAAATAAAGAAAACAAAAAAAATTATTGTACGCATAACGAATTCTCACTAACATGAGAAGAGAACTCTCCTACAACATAAGAATTCTTTTTCCCATATATAAAAGCAGACTAGCTTTCACCAAACAGGAAGCATTCGTTGAATTAAAATTCTGATAAGGCAGTAGCTCTAACAAAACAAAAGAATTTCTATACTTTCATTCAGTGGTGTATTCACTTTGAATACAATCATCAGCAAAAATGGCGGCAAAAAGAACATGCACTATACCATACTATCATCCTCATGAAGAAAGTATGGAAAATCTTCCTTCCGCCGAATAAAAGCTAAATCTTATTTACATCACTAAAAAAAGAACTGAATTAATACACAATAAGAATTGGAAATAAAATTAGCTAAATGAAACCAAATGTAACAATGTTCATGCATCATCTCCTATCTGGCTAGTGGGAGCACCGGCAAGCCAACCCCATACGCCACCTGAACTCTGTCTGTGTTTTGCATTCAAGACAGCTTGCTCTGATGCAGCTTTTTGCCGTTGGAGGAGTTCGAGCTCCTTCTGTAATGTCCCAAATGTTTGGAGCTTCTGGCCTAATTCAGCAACCTCCACCTGCGTTCTCAAATATTCACTTAAGTTAAATAATAATTAAAGGGAAAAAAAGGTAGTTCATCCATAAAAGGAGACAAGTGCCAAAATTTTAAAGCAGTCTCAGACAGACAAAATATATCACAACAAAGAGGGATTCACGTAGAAGGATTTCGATGAGGAGAGGTTCTTCAATTCTTGGTAGACATGGTTACCCATGTCATTCCAACACCAAACTGATCATATAGTTATCATTTGTCTCATTATATGTTATAAAATCAACCACTTGACTTTGACACCCAGTTTTGCAAACAATGAATTTTTTTGAAAATCAAATTCTTATCATATGGATGAATTGTTACTCTACGCGAATAACTTAGAGATCAGATGAATGGTGCACCATGTTTACCCAATAATTTTTCTAAAATCATCTACCTAAAAACAGATCCAATTCAAAAACACTCTCAGAAGCATTAATGCATACCTCAAGTTTAAAACATCTTGACTGCTCAGAAGCAAGCTGACCACGTACTGATTGGAGCTCC